CCCCCCCCCCCCCCCCCCCCCCCCCCCCCGAATCCCCTGGCACCTGCACCTTCCCTTAGCCCTGCACCCTCCTGGTGCTTCCCCCTTCCCTCACAACCCCTGCCCCCTTTGTCCTCTTTTTTCCCTGATGCCCACCCCTCACCACCCTCTGCACCCCCGTACCCCTCATGCCCCTGTGCCCTCACACATGACTTGCTCCATACCTGCCTTCCTTATGCCCACTCCCTCTTTCAAACCTTCTCCTAGCACTTCCCCTCCCCCCTCTAGTCCCCAATGCCCTTCCCTTCTCCTCTCTCAGCATCTCCCTGCCCCCCTCCCACTGACACCTCCTCTCCTGCGCTTTTCCTCATTGTCTGTACTTGGCCCCTGGCATTTGTCTCTCCTGCACCCCTGTCCCTTGGTGCCTTTCCCTTTCTTCTCCTGACCTGCCCCTTTCCCTTCATCACAAGCCCCTTCCTCTCCCACTTCTTCCCCCTATTTTTCCCCTCCCCTACCTTCTGCCTTCCAGTTTGCGGGGTAGCGGGGCTGGAGTCTGCGATCAGGCCCTGCCACCCTGCTGTCCATTGAGGGGACATAGGCTGCTCTGGTGTCCACTGCCCGTTCCTTCTGGGGCTGCAGAGTCTGGGCGTCCGCCCCGTGGGGTTGCCTGCCGGGTTCCAGCTGCCGCAGGAGGGTGGGCACCTCCCTGAGCTCACCCCACGGGCCCGGGTGGACTCCCTCCCCATTGTCTGCCACACCGCCAGCATTTAAAATACTCGGCGTGTGGTGTGAGCATGCGCTGCAAAGGTGCGGGGGCGGGGCTGGCCCCGCCACGCCCACTCGCTGCAGTGTCCGGCCAGGGGCGAGGCCTCCAAATCCCATCACCCCTGTCTGGCGCAGTGTGCGCATGCGCCGCAAGGGCATGGGGGCAGGGCTAGCCTGCCGCGGCAGCTTGCTGTGGCGTGACCGGAGGCGGAGCCCCTGCACTCCATCACACTGGGGCTGCGGGTGCCCCGTTACAAGTCCTCTTCTCCTCTGGGGACGTTCTGGGGCCTGGGGGAGGAGCAATATTCAGAGCCAGGGAGAGACCCAGCTCCAAATATTGGTGGAACAGGGCCCCCGGCTCTGAATATTGCTGGAGCCTGGGCACCACAAGCCCATATAACTCGCTGCCCATGATTGGGGTAGGTAGCAGAGCAGTACCATGAGAGGAGTAGAACAGGAAGAAGGCAGAATTGAGACCTTTCAAAGTTTTGGCCCGAGTGAAGGGGAAAGGGGGCGCCATTTGAGCTCTCCGCCTCAGGTGCCAAAATGTCGTGGGCCGGCCTGCTGAAAGGAACTTATTTCACACTTCCCCACAGTAATTCCCCGCTGCAGACCTATGGTGCCAGCAAGAGGAAGTCAAGTTGCTTTCTCTGTAAGTATCGACTTCCCCTCTAGCCAGGGGAAAGGGTGTAGTCAGGTGCCGAGAGTGCTCTACCAGCAATATCTCTGCGAGAAAGGAGAAACCACCTGTGCTCTGCTGGAAACCATCTCTGTGCGGTAGCAAGGCTGTGCTGTGGGAGAGATGCTTTGCGTGTAGGAAATCTAGCCCTGGTATTTAACCACTTCTCATACTGGGCAGACGCATACCAAACATTCATAAATAACACAGTCTTTCTCTTCCCCTTTCTCAGCACCACCCCTTCTCTTTCTCTTGGATTCCATTTTTAAACTATAAAACAACTTTAAGTTTCTCAAAAGACAATACCAGCTCACAGTGAACTGATGTACTATGGGACAGCCTAGGGATGTTAAATGGCATTTCATCAGCTAAGTGACTAGTCGATGGAATTTCCATTGACAAGTCAATTAGTTGATGGCGGGGGTGGGGAGAGAGAAATTGCAGAGCTGCAGCAGGGTTAGTGCCCAGGCTCTTAATACATTTAAAAGGCTAAAGCACAGCGGAAGGACCAGGTGTGAACTGGGACAGCTGATTCCCAGCTCCTGTGTGGTCCCCTGCTACGCCTCTGCCCTTCTGCGGAGATGGTGCTGGGAGGGGGAACCCATTTTTAAACCAGCAGCCCCCATCACCAGCTCCGGCTCTCTTCCCCTTGCTGCCTGTCTCTGATAGAGGCAGCAAGGAGGGGTGGGGGAGCGACTAGTTAAGTCGCTAGTTGACGAGTCACTTACATCCCTAGTACAGCCATGCATTATGTTGTGCTAATCAGCACATTTTATAGAGATTCTAATAGAAAATAATTTTTTTCTGTAATTACCATTTTCCTTCATTATTTGTTTTCATAGCATCCCTTCTCAAGGCTAACTGCCCAGTGCTTTGCTTCCGCAGTTCCTCCCGAAGAACCTGCACTTGGTTTGTGTTGACATGCCTGGTCACGAGGGCACTACCCGATCATCATTAGATGACTACTCCATCAATGGGCAAGTTAAAAGAATACATCAGGTGATGGCCTCAGATATATTTTATACCCGTTCTTCATGTCTACCTTCCTGGGTAATCAGGGTATATGGATTTGATTTGTCTTTGAAGTGATGGGAAACCCAGGATTTCTTCTCTCTAGAGGATTGAAGGTGAAACACATGGGAAGTTAGATTGTGCTCTTGGCTTCAGCCCTGTGTAGATGGCAGCCTGTGAGTGTACAGCTCAGAAAAACCCCCATGAAGTCATTTCCCTGCTCTCCTCTTGTTGCAGGGGAAATCATCTACTCCTGGCCTGTAGCAAGTGTGGTTTACTTCTCCTTTCTGTCCCCTCCTGCAGCTCAGTTGTGTATTCCTTTGGCTCATTAAATGGGCCCATCTTGTCTTTGCTCCTTGGCTCTCTTTCATGTGCTAAGCTGCAACCATCCTAGAAAAGGAACTTTGCAGAGGGAGCATGTCCCTCTGTTCCTTTAAGGACTAATCTCCTGCCGTGTGATTGATTAGCCCGAATAGTCTTATTATTGCTTTAGGCACGTTTGAATACGTGCAAATTACAGCTAGGACCCTGTGTCCCAGAATCAAACGCATTCTTAAAACTACAGCTCACAGGCGCTTCTTATGATGGGAGAGCTTTTTAGTACTTTGCTGCCCAGATTATCAAATGTGTAAATTTTCCTTTTAGCATAATGGCTGAGCCACACAGAGTCATAATTAAAGGGCAAAAGACAAAATGCCCATGGGGAAGGGTGGGAGTGGCAATGTGAGGGCACAGCAGGGGTATTTTCTCCAATCATATACGCTGACTTTATTTCAGTTCCTTTCCACCCACACATCTGTTCAAGTGCCAGCAGTGAAAATGGGCAGGGATCCAGGATCACCACCTACATGTTCACCCTTCTGTCCCCTGGTCACTCATGCACCGCTCTGTCAGATTAAGCCCTGCTGACATGGTATTGAATCCTCATTTCAGTAAAAGCTGACAAGCACCTCTGTCTATTTCCTTTGAAATCATCAGCAGATGCTGTACCTGTGAGGGTGTTGCTTTTTACTTCACATGTGATTTAAGTATTTAATATTTTCTGGGCCAGAGTCTTATTTATGTTAACACCTCTGCACGGCCAGAGTGTGTACAGGAATCTACATGTAAATGAGCATCAGGCCTCAACAGAGAATGTTAAATCTCTCCTAAGCTGAGGTCTGCAGTCAGAGCTCTTAAAACAGAGAGGCGGTTGGCAAGATGTTACAGAAATAAACAGCAGGTGGGGACCACATGTTTTATTGTTTAGAAGTCTGCATTTCCCCCTTCTTCCTTTATTGGTATTATCAAGATGGGTGGGGCTGGGATGTAGGAGAGAAGAGGAACAAGACCAAGCTGGAAGGTGGGAGGAGGTGAAAAATGTTTTTTATAGTATGGATCAGACTGCAATTTATTTCCCTCTTTATGTTAAACAGAGGGAAGTAGATGAGGCTGGCTGGTTCAAAGGCTTGGTAATAGCCTATAGAGCGTTTAAGCCTTAGACGGACGGCCCAAGTGGCCTGAGTCAGTAGAGACTAAAAGTTCCATCAGTGTTTATTTGATAACCTTTTAGGTTGTGCTTTTGGTTATCTGTCAAGCAGCAGCCAGACCTGTGAAACAATAAAAATAACAGGAGAGGAGAGTGGTGTTCTTAGTGCCATTCCAGTGGGCAGGTATCCTGTCATACAAACTGCCTCCATACTTATTGCTAATTTGACAGTCTCAGCAGTGGTGAAAAACTAAAAGGTCATGGAACCCAAACTACTCTTGTAGCAAGTATTCTTGTTGCTCTCAAGCTTTTTCCTCCTGCTCAGGGACAAGGCATTTTGCTGGAACAAGGTGGGGAAACTTCCCCTGCTGTGTGGATGGTGACTTCCGCCCTCAGCACTGTAAATATTTTCCCTTTTATTTAAAGGGAAGGCATGGGTGGTCCTAAGATTCTGTGGATTCCCCCATACTGCTCTAGCTTTGCTTTTAGAACTTACTGCAATGCTGTCAGGTCTAAGATTCTGTGGATTCCCCCATACTGATCTAGCTTTGCTTTCATAACTTACTGCAATGCTGTCAGGACTCATGATTGCTGTCTTCCTTAGTAGCTTTGTAGCTTATTTTTTTCTAACGACTGATTGTAACTGTGTAATTGCTCCCTGTGGCCTCATTGCCCTTTCCGTTTCAGTTTGTTGAATGTATCAAGCTGAACAGAAAACCCTTTCACCTGATCGGCACCTCAATGGGTGGAAATGTTGCAGGAGTTTATGCTGCTCGGTATCCAGCAGAGATTTGCAGCCTGTCTCTTGTATGCCCTGCAGGTGAGTGGCACAATATAAACGGAGAATGAAAGTAGCTAGGTATTTAGTCTGCATCAAAGGATTAGTTTAGGGAACCACAGGTAGTACTGAATCCAATGTAAACCTTGTGACTTAGATGGTGGGAAGAAATACTTGGCACCAACTGAGATTTTAGAATCCAGTTTAGATTTATTTATACGCCTTAAGCAGTGTTTCCTCTAATCTTTTCCATCCACATGCGGATTTTTTTCCATCCAAGTCCCAAATAAATGTTTGTGCACTAAGGCATGTGCAAATGTGTACACCAGTAGAAACAAAAAGCCTAGGTAAGCACTCTGGACAGTACTTGAATCTCTCCTGTGCAGCTGCACAAGCGTGCAACTTACAGGGAACCGTAGCCACAAGACTAATTCATATTCTGACAGGACAATACATGTATTCCTGGAACACAGCACACATAAAGGGTGAAATAATAAATGCTGTGAAAGCTGAATTCCAATGTCTGTTCCAAGCCCCCATTTTCCCAGCTTTCTCAAACAAACCCCTACATAGGCTGAAATGTTCCATGCTTAATCAGTTACTGATTATGTTACGTTTCACTGCTTAATCAGGATCGTGCAGGGAAGGAGCCTCTCTGGCCTGTCTGGGCAGCAGTGGTCCTCCGCCTGCAGAGTGGTGCAGTGGGCCTGGTTAGGCTGGAGGAACCCAGCGCCGCACTGCGAGGAGGCTGCTTTGGCCAGCCTGAGCCTGCTGCAGATGGGGGGCTGCTCGAGCTGGGCCTGGCCTGCTGCATCATACTGCAGGCAGAGCGTTACTCCAGCCAGGCTGGGTCTGCCGCTCTGTGGGAAGGGAGTTGCTCCAGTTGGGCTGGGCCCACCATGCCACACTGTGTGTGAGGAGCTGCCTCAACCCAGTCAGGCTGTAGCACTCCCACCCCTGGCTTGGTGGGCCTGGCTGGACTGGAGCAGAGAGTCTTTCTGGGCCGCCAGTTAACAGGTTACCAGTAAGCATCACTCAGTTTTTAAAACCCGGCTGGGCCACTAGTTAACTGGTTACATCCCTCGATGTGCCCTAAAGGTGACTTTTTTTTGTTAATGATGTGTGCAGAAAACTGTGTGGTTGCATAGCTCAATATTAGCTGAAGCTGGGGAGGGGAAAGACCATCTATGCTTTTGAAAAAGATTGGTTCTGAATTGATTTGAGCTGCAAACATGTAAAATGGAATATTCATACACTGACATCATGGAGGAAGAATCTAGTCACAAAGAGAAATGCCTAATTCGTCCTGACCTCCACAATGCCCAGTTCAGAGAAAGACAACACACATCAGCACCTTTGCTTTTAGCTGCCTTTGAGCTTGTACTATACCAAAGTGGAGGTTTTCTGAGATCTCTGTACAGAGAACAGCTTTGCCATCTCTTGCCGTCCCTCCCCTCCATCAGTGGAAGTGTAGCTTGGAGGAGGGACTGGGAATGTGGAGGAGTATTTGCAGGCCACTGACAGAGTTGCTGTTTCCCCACTGGCTTTTACAGATCAAAGGGTTGTGCTCTCTCAGAGTGGCCTATATTAGAAACGTTTAAATTGTAACACCTTTCAGTAGTCTAATATTAGCTGTTGGGTAGCTAGGCAGAGTCTGCCTCAACCTTTACGCTCAGTGTGATGTTTCTAAGGGAGCGAGCAAGAGAGCACAAAGCCGTATGTCTTGGACAGGAGCAGTTGAGTTTAATAGAAATGGGGGTCAAGAGAGTTGATCTGAACTACCTTCATGAGTGTCTGTTTTAAACAGCAGAAGGATTTAGCTGGGTAGTCTCATCACTACAGATCCGATTCTTGCTCACAGTAAGGGCTCTCTGCAGTATTCTGGTACCGGAAGATGTCTTGGAAGTGGGTGTAAATTACATTGGCCCTGCTTTAAGATACCTTTTATGCTGTGAGAATGCTGTAGAGAGGCCTTGCTGTAAGTGAGAATTGGGTCCGTCCAGTCATCTGAAGAAGTGGGTTGTGTCCACGAAAGCTCATGATGCCATTTGCGTGCTTTGTTAGTCTTTAAGGTGCTGCAAGACTATTCATTGTTTAAGTTTTCCTAAAAGGGAAGACTGCTTAATTGATCCTGCCCAAATCTGTCACCAAGTCCCCCTTGCTGTCTCCAGCTATTTAGAGACTGTTACAACAAGGGAAGTTACTCAATAAATGTGAATTTTGAAATACCTGGTTATGCAGAAACAAAATACAGGACTATGTAGCACTTTAAAGACTAACAAGATGGTTTATTAGGTGATGAGCTTTCGTGGGCCAGACCCACTTCCAGACCCACTTTCGTGGCCCACGAAAGCTCGTCACCTAATAAACCATCTTGTTAGTCTTTAAAGTGCTACATAGTCCTGTATTTTGTTTCAGCTACACCAGACTAACACGGCTACATTTCTATTGGTTATGCAGAATTTTACATTTCATCAGCTTACTCTCTTGTCTTGATACCTGGCCAGACTATTATGTACAAGCTTATGTAAGTGCTGTAATGTAATGGTGTTGGCACAGTGTTATCTGCGTGGAGGAAAAGCTTTGGTTTGCCCCTGTTGTCATAGCTGCTGCTGTTTATCCAGTAAACTAACGATTCCAAGGCAAGAAATAGAGGCAAAGTGGAATGTTACCTAGTTACCGCCTGAGCTGCTCTGCACAAAGAAAGTGATGTGAATAACTGTGTGTGTGTGTGTCAGTCAGTCAGTCAGTCAGGCAGTGGTTTTCAACTAGGGTACATGGTATGCAGAGGTCTTCCAGGGGGTACATCAACTCATCTGGATATTTGACTACTTTTACAATAGTCTGCATGGAAAAGCCCAATCGAAGTCAATACAAACTAAAAATTTTTCCGGATGATGACTTGTTTATACTGCTCTATATACCAAGGGTGGCCAAACTGTGGCCTGAGAGCCACATGTGGCTCTTTTACCATTAAAGTGTGGTTTGCAAGCTCCCTGCCCCCCAGTCTACCAGACTGAGAGGGATGGGGAGGAAGCTCAGGAACTCTACTTTGCAGTGAGGTGGTGGGGCAGGAGCTTCTGTCCTGCAATGAGGAGGGTCTTGGGGCTTCACCTGCTGGAGCTCAGGGCTTTAGCAGAAGCGGGGCTGAAGCCCCGAGACTCAGCATTTGGTAGGCATGCTCCAGCTCTCTAATGTTTGAAGATTATCTCGTGCAGCTCAGAGGGCCAGTAAGTTTGGCCACCACTGCAGTAGACTATACACTGAAAAGTAAGTAGAGTGTTAATATTCTAATTGATTTATTTTACAATTCTGTGGTAAAAGGAAGTCATATTTCAGTAGTGTACAGTGAAATGCCAGTATTTTATGTCTGATTATGTGAGCAAGCAGTTTTAAAATGAGGTAAAACTTGAGGGTGTGCGAGGTAAGCCAGACCCCTGAAAGGCTGAGACTTGTGTGGAATCTGTATCTGCAAAAATGAGCTGTTGCTATGTGCATCCCTATTAGGGATGTAAAATTCCGTTTAATTGGCTAACCAGTGAAATGTATTGTGTAACCAGTTAACCGATTAAAGGGGGCAGAGTGGAGGGCTGGAGTGCCCTCTTTCCCACCACAAGCAGGGGCTGCTCCAGCCCAGCCAGAGCAGCCTCTGTTTGCAGTGGACCCCCTACGGGGCTGGAATATCCTCCTGCCTGTGGGCTGGCAGGGAACTGCTTCAAGCCCCCTACCTGTTACCCTTAACTGGTAATCCTCACCCATTAAAGGTGAAGGTTTTTGGTTAACTGCTCAAATCTTCCCTAATCCACATCCGCGGGTGCGTATACCAGCAGATATAAAGTGGATATCGTGTATTTGCAGGGCTGTACTGAAAGGGATTCAGTAGTTTGGAAAGGTTGAAAGCCACTGAAGTAGAAGAGGCCTTGGTTAAATCTTCTCATATAATAGTTAGGATCTGTGTTGATATTAGTGAAGAGCAGTGGTCCCCAACCTTTTCAGGTTGTCGGGCGCCAGGGGGCGTGGCCGTTCGCCCGCCGGGCACCCGGGGGCGGCCCCCCCGCATGGCCGCATGCCCGGGTGCAGGGCC